AAAACCCGAGGAGGAAGCCAGGCGAGCTCTGCCAGAGGTAAAAGGTCGCGACAAGAAAGTCGAAGGTGTTCTGCTGATTGCGGGCAAAGGATGTGTTCTAGATGAACTTGTTCCTGGGCCGTCCTTCTTGTGGTAGTGCTGGATATGTTCGCCTGGGGCTTGGCGCACCAGCGGGTCTTCGTTGGCAGCCCGCTTGAACCGCTCACAGCTTGAGCCATGTACGTAGGTATGTATGTATGTATGTATGTGTGTGTTCTTTGCAATCCAGCTGGGGTCTGTGGTCGCACGTGGTAAGCCTTCTGCTTCGGGCGCACTGAAATCACCAAAGTGCTGCTGCAGCTTTGCAGAAGCTGCAAACCTTGCAAGTTTGCATGGTGAACCAAGCAAGTCAAAGCGCTTGGGTGTCAAAAACAAATTAGACGAAGGAAACTTGCCAACTGAGCGTCTCATCGAAGCTAGTAATCTTTTGCTGCGTTACAGCATGCACCTGGCTGAGAGTTCAAAATCGGCATCGAGCAGAATTTCAACACACTGCAAACCTCTCTTGAAATATTGAAAAGTGCTGCTCTTAGACCTCTTCACACAAAGGTGAAAGAAGCAGCTGCCGTGTCAGCGCCTGCAAATGCTCATGGACACATAGGAGGTCGGTTGAAGGTTGAAGCCCAACACTGAAGGGTGCATCCCCATGTTGAACAAAACAAAAAAACAAACAAACAAATCAACTGTCAGAGATGGGAGTTTGATCAGCTTGAGAGCAGCTTTTATGCTAATTCGACCACTGGCTTTCCAATTTTTTGACCGTGGAGTGAACTCACCTAGCAAACTGGCTTAGAAGGATATGCTTGACAACATCACCAGCACACCCCAAGGCGCACGGCTGTCCTCGCCAACTCTTCCAGTTGCACCAGCTACAACACTCTTGTATAAGCGATACCCCGGCATTGCACAGCACCGGCACAAAGAAGAAATCGCATGGGCTCCCTCTTCACATTCTTCTCACGTGTGCTCTTAAAGACAATTGACATTCTCTAGTGAGTTGAATGCGTGTTTGTTTGTCCTTCATCTGCCTTTTGATATGTGTGTATATATATATATATATGCAAACATGTGCGCCATCGGCAGGGCTGAGACTGTTTGTCAACGGTTGAAACTCAGGCATACCAGCATCTAAAAAAGACATTAAACTGGCCGGAACTTAGCACGCAGCGTTCTCTCCATCCACCATGACTTACATCCCTGTCAGCGAGTCTTATCGATAACTCCGGTAGTGAATTGTGCCAACAAAGTTGCTCACACTAAAATCCAAACGAGAGTATCACATGGTATCACCGTATCACCATTGCGATTCAGGTGGTGCTCTGATCAAATTGACCCATTGCGCCAAGCAACATCCTTGCGACCATGAAGCTCCACTCTTGAGTGCCTCCCGCGAGCCTGCAGTCCACTGGCTTGGCTCAGCTTAATACTTCATGCTTCAGTCTGGAAAAGCTCCATCAGTTTTCAGACAACCTTCTTGGTCGGCGTCCAAGCAGTAGTAATTGCGGCACTTCCCTCCTGAACCACTTTCAATCAAAGGACTCTAGCTGCTGCTATCTTGCAAAACAGCAGCAGCGATGAGGTAGCAATGCAGTGCTCCTTGCAAGTGTCCACCTCACATGAGATCCGATATGGGTCGAGAAACACAACTCGAGTCAGCCCACTCGACATTGAATTAAGACTTGCATCCGCAGTGAAGCCGGTCCAGACCAGCTCGGCTCATCGCAAAAGCTCTATTTATCAAACTCCGATTGCCCAAACGGTGTGTCTGGTCCCGAACACTTCTAAGCAAGGTTTCGGTTGAGGAGAAAGAATGACAGAAATATTCTGCAATCATTGAAAGAATGCAAATATCCGAACCGGTAACGGTTCCTTGCCTTTCGAACTTCCACCATGGCAAAAGCACCTCAGGTAAAAGTCAGTGGTGTACCGAAGCCTCGCACTGGTGAAATTGTTTTGAAATGAGGCAGCTGGGGCAAGGACGGCCAGAGGTTGTCTCTCCGGAACTTGCACTTCCTCCTTAAATGTGCTGAATTTGAGCCATTCCATGCGGCATGAACTGAAACAACGATTCTGTCAGAGATTTCACAAGTTGCATTCTGTCCAACTTTGTTTTACGTGTGTGATTGTCCACAACAACTCAATTGGTGTACTTTGCTTGCTCAATTGCGGCACACATCCTATGTACAATCCAAATTGGTCGAAGATCTCTTTGGAACCCTTCTTCCAATTTGGCCAAGACTAGATGCTCCAACCAAACCTGGATTGCTCTACTGCCTGGAATAGCCAACATCACTCTGTGCTGAGTTTGCTCACCATGCCTTCCCGTTGAGCCAAGAGCTGCTGTGCCTTTGAACGCTTCACATTGCTTCAAAAAAATGGATGACTCTCTTGATTCCACCTGCACACAAGCTGCAGGTAGCGGAAGATGTGGACTGAGGCCAGACCAACGGTCAAGCAGCTCCTTCAAGCATATAGAATTTGACCAGAAAAGTACTCAGGCACACGACTCTCAGGCCTGCAAGCTTCGTTCCCTCTTCTCTTCTTCTGCCAGTACATCTTCACCTCGCCGCTCCTGTAGCAACAGCACGAATCAATTATAAATGGGGCGTCACATGACGTTTTCATGACTTCACTGGACAATCCTCAGCAACCGTGGCCCTCAAAACATCAGCCAAGCGCGTTCTCAGCGCTTCCGCTCCAGTTGCATGCCAATTCAACTCCTCACAAATCTTGCAAGGAATGTCAAAAATAAGCTTTCTATGGCTTTCTCATCCGAACATGAGCCGAGGCTGGACTACAGTAAATATGAAACTTTGTGCCACCTCCAAAACATGGGACCCTCCATCAAAAGCATTGTCACATTGCCCAGTTTCCACCGATCCCCTCATCAAGCAATCGCCTACCAAGGTTACCTTTGCAAACAAAGGACTTCTGTGGGCTTGTGAAAAGGCAGCAAATGGCACGACCTCTCTCCAGCCAGGCGTTTCGTTGCACCTGCCTCATTTGCAGCATCTAAGGAGCGCTTCGTTGAATCGAATTGCGCCGATATGTGCTCCAGCCTCGTCCATATAATTTGGCCAAGCTGAATGAAAATGCAACTTTGCAACAGCCCAAAACTCAATGTGCTTGGCAAGCCCCACTGAAAGCTTAAACATACTGAAGCTCCAGCTGGCCAGCCCGGACATCCAATTCATCACGCCTGGTCATTCACTGCACCCCAACATCCACTGATCAATGTTTGACAACAAACTCTTTTGACAGTACAACAAATAGCAGTGCACTTTTTTCCAAGTATAAGCCTGCTAGGAAGGTGCGGGCTAAATCTTCATCTCCTCCTGCTGCTTCAAGTGCCAAATGGCACTTTGTGTGTTCAAAGCCAGAAGCTGCCAATCGCCACACTGCATCTTCGAAAAGAGCCGATTCTCCAATGCCTAGCAATGTCGCATCAGTAGAGGAAAATAGAGGATCCCCCTCAACTCGCCAGGCAGGTCGACCCACAGGATCCGTTACAACTTGAGGAGTTTGCGGGTCATTCTCCGAAGAGTTCGCTCCACCACCAGGCTCTGGCAAGTTTGGCAAATTCTGTTCGGTGACAGGCTGATCAGCGAAAATATCCAAGTCATTATCCTTCGCAGAGCGATAAATCACACGTCCTTCGGGCGCAGGTGGGAGTGGCAAGAACTCACGATCGGGCCCAAGGCCACCCCAAATGCCATGCTCATCAGAAGTGTTGACCCTTTTTGCCTCTCGTCGGGCTCGCAGAGCAGCCGCTGTCATTGGCCTCTTTTGTATCCAACGCTCACCTCCGCATGCCCCACACTGAGTTTCTGATGCAGCATTAACTAGGGTACAAGCTGGGCAGGCCCAAGTGTCATCCACAGGTCTCTTCGGTCTTTCCCCATCTTCCCGAGGAAGCACCACGACAACACCAGATGTGTTTGTCCCCTGCCCACGAAAGCTTTCACACGCAGCACATTTCACGGCTTCAGGCCTGTTGAGGAGGGTACATGTCGGACAAGGCCAATCTGGTTCCCATGCTAGCTCTTCATCAAGAGGCTCAGGCATAGGGATCCATGTGTCGACGTGATAGATGTGCCAAAAATGGAGACGGTGTCACACCAGCTACAGAGTGCGCAGCATCAACAAATTCGGAGGTTGAGCTTCTGAGATCTAATCTAATTAACCACAGATTTACATCAGCGTTATCATGCAGGGACAAGTCAACCCTGCCGTGGGTGTGCTTCTGTCATGAGTGCGTTTCCAACATGCTCAGCTCGAGCAAACCGCCACTCAAATTGAAATATACAAAACTTCGCACAAGCCTTTGTACATTGACACAGCACACAGGGTCAGCACAACACTTGATTCACCTGCATTCTTGCACTTCTTCTTCCTTGCATAACTTGTGCCAGCAACGCCACGCACAACGCAACGCCCACTTTGGCAGCTGGCGCACTTGGCCGAGGGCCTCTTCAACGAGAAGACCAAGCTTTCTAAGTAGAAAAGACTCTAGCTAGAATTCTTCAAAGACAACTTCTATCTTCCTTGCCTTTTCACAGTCTCGCACTTCATCTTCAAATCCCTGGAACAGTTCAAGGTCAAAATGGCTTTTGGCTGTACTTCATGGGCTTGAACAAACCCAGTGTCGACCCTGTCTAACAAGAACGAAAAGGAGGTCGCTGTCGTCCCACTTGGCCATGACAATGGAAGGTGCCAAAAAGCTGCAAGCCAACTCCCATGTCCTATTAAGAGCCTTGTGTGGGAAAGCCATGCAGAAAGAGAGAGAGAGAGAAGACAAAAAGGAGGAAGAGGAAGGAAGATCCGCAGCATGCCGCCTTAACGTAATCTATTTCTCTGGACTCTAAGGTAATCCTCAATTTTCGTTGACTTGGATCATCTTTGGATCAGGTTTTTTGCAAAGGACTGCTCAGGGTCTTACTACTTGGACCCGATATACGGTACAAATGCAAGCTGGAAACGTCGGACCACCAAAACAGTTTTACACTTTAACCGTTAACCTACTTCTTTGTATCCTACTGTTGTCAAAGTTGTTACATGACTCTGTTTTTGTGCTTCTTCTTTCTGGCCCGTGGCTCTTTTTTTTCAAACCATGTTTGTCCTTTGCTCCACTTATGTGCTCCCTTATTATGAGTTTTTTCTTTTTCTGTGCTTTTCCTGTGTTCTTCCTATGTTCTTCCTGTCTATTGAAAGCTCCTCTCTCACACTGACAATCGGCTTTCCAATCTCTCTGACTGCAGCTTAAGGCAAGTTGAGGCTCACACGGAGCCAGGATCTTTATCACTTCTGCACCTTGATCTTTGAACAGAGCTGGTGTTTTGAACCCAAGATCATGCGGTAAATCATGTTCATCAACACTGTCTACACGTCTCACATCTTCACATCTCACATCTTCATATCTCACTCATATCTACAGCATCTTCTCTTGCATCTTCACATCTTCTCTTTTCTGCTGTGAATGATGAAGGAACTGCACATTTAAATATGCGGAGCCGTCCGTCGCCCCCAAACATACAAACAAAATAGGAATTATACACTACCTCCGGGAGGATTAACCCTCAGCCCCCCTCCACATATTTTAATAGCATAACCGTAGAAAATAGAAGAATCATGTGTGTGTGTGTGTTGCATTCCGTAACTGAGTAAAATGGAAGTTTTTGAGTGTGCGCATGCAACTCTTTGCCGGAATCATGCCTGTCGAAGTGCCAAAACTGAGTTGTGAATATGCTGGGGCAAGGGGGTTCCTGCGCGTCAGGTGCCCCAACTGAGATAGAATGCGGATTATGCGGATGCAGGCATGATGTGGGGATCGTGCGTATCGAACTCCCGAAACTGAGGCGAAGTGCAAATTCTGACACCAAAAAGTGAAGCTGTCGTCGAATATGAAGGTGTGTGTTACCAAAGCATGACAATGTCGTCGACCTGGCAGTTTTCTAGCACAAATGTAGTTATATAGCACACGGGGTGACTTCTGGGCGCTCACAACTAGCAGTGCAGTCCAAGTGAAATATGGGAAGTGGGTCCGTCCGGAGACCTCCGAGCTCAGCACGGCTTTGTGGAAAGCTGGCGCACGGTGACTGGCAGGTCCGGGCTCGGAACTGGCATTTTCGTAGTACACTTGCAGTACACGGGGTGACCGTTGGAAGCCCGTTTGTCTTTCACCCCGCGCAGGGTGGCAGTGGCAAAATTGTGTCTGTGATGCCGGGGTTCACCGCAAGTTGAAATGCATTCAATGTCTGCAATACAATAGAATGAGCACCGGCTATGTGAGCACGAGAGCACTGGTCGTATCAAGGCCGGAAGAAAGTTTGCCGCACTGCATGCTGCAGATGCTTGGCTCCTTTCACTTCCACTGTACTTTTGCTGCCTTCGCTTCTGTGGACAGCTCCCGCTCACATCTTATTATTGAACAAACATGAACAAACCTCCATATTGACACACGGTGATACGATCATCTCCTTTCGCTCTTGGGCCATTCCTCGTCTAGTTTTTTCCTGTGAAGTTGAAGAATCAATCTTCATAGTCACCCTCCTCATCTTGAGCTCAGGACAAAGATGCTTTGCAAAGGCCCAAATTAATCCACCGCAGTTTGCTTTCCTCACCACGGAAGCTGCTTCCACTTCATGGCCCCTTCCATTGCAGGCATTGCCTTCCCTGGGTCCTGAAACTTCCGCTCCACTTTCAAGGTGTGCTCCTTGAAGGAGGTTTGGAACCAGCTGATTCAAAAGTCAAGCATCCTTTGCATCGTTTTGCAACTATGGATCTCACTTCTGACCGTTGCAGCTCTTCGCACAGGCATGAATGGCGCTCATTCAGTGCCTTAGTCGCACAGAATGCTATGACCAGGTATGCTCGGAACACGTTCAGCTTCAGCCTTGAAGGCGCGTTCTGCGGCTCTAAATGCCACCTGATTGACACCTTGCGGGCAGTACTCGAAGAAGGCTCGGAGAAAGCCCAGAGTTCAACGATTTCAACCAAAGCCTTGAAGAGGTGCTGAAGCAGTCCTGACGCAGTCTTATCCCGATTCCTAGTTTGGGTCCGATAGATCTATCTATCTATATATATGCAGTTAGCCTTTGTTTGATGTGCCGATTCGCAGCAGCTCCCCAAAGAATGAGAAGGCTCTCCTCGACAATGATGGTGACAACTCGGCTTTTACCTTTCAGCATCAACGTGTTCCCTCACAACACTTTTCAAGCCCTCTAGAGAGTGTAGAATCTATATATTCCAAAAGAAAAGTAGCTTTGGTCGAGCACAACAAGAGTATCAACTAATGATCAATTCATTGAGCCAGCTTCAGTTAGTACCTACGTCAAACACTCCCTTGAGTCCCCAACATCAGTATCCAAGTTTCCTGTGCACAGCAAGCAAGATTGGCACAATGTCTAACAACTGCTCAGTTTAGCAGTTCTTCTTTGATCTGCCAGGCCTGAGAAACTAGCTGCGCGCCGCTTGTGATACTCTGCAGAAGGTACAGTGTACTCTTGCAGCTTCAGAGAAAGAAACCTCGCAGCCAAAAGTACTGTGACGAAGGGTCTTCGGCGCTTTGATGCTCTTTGCCTAAATTGTTGATTGACATGGTTCTGGATCGAATTTCCGGTACGCCTGATGCTGTCATCTCGTTTAACGCATTGTGTTCTCCAATAGCTTGCTGCAAGTAGTCCATTGTCCTCCCGGGAGATCAGCCTCTGAAAGAAAAAAGTCGATGCCTGTTCGCTCAAGGTGAGGTCCTCATGGAAGGCCAGCAAGTCTCCCAGACAATCAGCATGTCCTTCTGCTGTGGATGTAGCACGAGCCCTTTCCTGATTTGGACTCCAATAAAATTGGGGTGTCGAAATCAGCACAACAATGAAGCACAGTCAGAAATCTGAACCCTATCGGCCCTATCTTTCGTGTCCTCCAATTGAGTCGTCATGTCGGCAATCCGGCGGCCATAAAACTGCAAGACAACTAACTTCAAGAAAATTTAACAAGGTTCAGGAAGACATGAATATATCATAATATATATATATAAATGCACAAGCATTAAGTCAATCTGTATATCATAGAACCCTGGCAAAGCTTGTAGTTGGAAGCTATATAGTGGAAGGAAAACGTCCAAAAAGAGCCTGCCCAAGACTGGGGAATGTAGCTTGGGGGAACCAGCCTTTAAGGTCTGGACCAAAATTAAGAATCCCGGAAGAATAGAATAGAAACTCAATGAACATTTGAAGCAGCAGCTCGAATGCACCTCTCCAGTACTGCGAAGTTCCTCGCGCAACTGTGCGTGATCATCCTGATCACACAGTCTCCGCGTCACTTTGTCACAGCCGCTGAGTCTGAAACGAATGAAAATTGTGCGATCAGTGGTCCATTTAGTTGTTTGTCACACCGCAGCCTGAATTTGCATCAGCTGCACTTCCAAGGCCTGGCTGGCCACTCCAGTGTCCCTCACCCCAGCACTCGTTGGGCGCACCAAAGAGCGTTTTTCATGGGAAAAACGACGAAAAAGAGATGAGGCCCCTTTTAACAAGGTCACTTACCTTCTTTTATACTCTCTTTGTTACTCTTATCTGTAGCCATTGAAACCACGAAAAAGAGACGTAAGAGACATGGAAGTTGCCGGGCGAAGCTCAAAGCTCTGAGCCCTGAAACCATCAGCGCCTCGTTCTCAAAGCTGAGAGCATCCTGCAACATGTTTTCTCAGGACGATTTCCTTCTTTCTTAATTGTTCCTCTGACTTTTAGACTCTACACCTTCCATGTGTTTCTTCATTTTTGCTCACGGAACCCCGCGCACTTTGTCCGAGAGACTCTCTTTCTACCTTAGGGAAGTTGAGCGAACTAGTATTTAGGCACACTTTCTGGACACGCAATGGCAAGTTTTGTCAAGCTACCAGTTTGAAGCACCTGGGACCTACGACTCGGTCACACTGAGGTCGTGGAGGGCTTCGACCATGACTATTGAATTCACAACGGCGCAGGCCCCCGATAGCAACTAACTAGGCACCTGACACAGAAAATGAAGCAGCTCACCAAAATTATGAGAGGTGATAAGCGGGGAGACAAGTTAGGAGGCAAGGCAGCAGCCACAAATAGAACGCCGATCACACAGGTAGACAGGTGGGGAGACAAATGAGGGACAAGAACAATTCAGCAGTGGCAGACAAAACGCCAATCACACAGGCAAACAAGTGGAGACACAAGGAGGGAGACAAGCTACACTTCTGCAACGGGATGGGCCTAAACAAGGGGTTGCCCAACCACGAAAACCACAAAGCCTATGGCGCGAACCACCGAGGGGCCGAAACGAAAGGAGCTGCGCAGAGCGGCTGCGGGCTTTTAACTCTCGAGGAGCCGAGGCTCAAGCGCTGCGGCGGTCGTGGAGAACCCTCAGCACATGATTCATTCACACGCCGTCGCGCCAGCACAAAATCCTTTTTGGATCATGCGCCTGCACCACCACGAATTGCCAAAGCACTTGGCTTTACGCGAACCGCAACCGCCAGACATTGTTCTTCTTGAGCTGGGCCAAGCCATCTCGGCAGATGCGAGCCTTCTTCGTCAGGCTATCTGCCAAGTTCCAGTCGCCGCTCACCCACACCAAGCGGCACTTGCTCTCCTTGAGCTGTTCCTTCAGCTGGTAGCCCTGCAATGCGCTTCTTGCATTGCTCATGCCCTGTAATGGGGCATCTGTTTTGTTGCAGGGGTCGGAAACTCCATTGGAGTAAGTGACGACGATGCCCTTCACATAGCCGACAAGCTGGTTGGCCTTGTCAAGTATGTTCCCCTCGTTGATGGCGCAACAGCCGTTGAGCTGTGCCCACATGAACCTCACGCGGAAGTTTGAGTCTTCTCCTTCCAGCGTGGCTTGCGTTTCGCCGTCGTTGGTGGAGATGGCCTTGCGCTTCAAGCGCCATGAACGCCAGCTGATGGTGTTCAGCTTTCCGGCGTCTCCAGTGGCCTCCAACCATTGGCGCGCGCTCCGCCATGGTCACCACACAGGCTTGGATCTGCGTCTGGGTCGCTGCCCATTGTAGAGCTCCAAGTTATGCTCTGCAGGCCGCCATTTCACCGTCTGTCGTTTTGGGGTCTTGACGAAGTCGTTCATCGCTGATGGCCAGCGGTGGAGGTCTTAGGTAGAAGTCCTGGTTGAGCTCGACATAGCGCTCCTTGTTCTTGTTGACCACTTCCACAATTGAGGCCTGTGTAGCGGAAGTTCTCTTCCTTCTTTGAACCCCAGGCATAGAGCTCGTCGACGCTCTTGCGAACTTTGAGCCAGGTCGCCAGGCGTCGTTGCTCAGGTCGCCAGCTCTCATGAAGTCACCGACGTGGCCGCCAACGAAGCCAATGAAGCGGTACTGGTCCGCTTCATTGATCGGAGTGGGATTCTCTTCCACCCAGATCCAGAATGAGCTGTCTCCAATCAGGCGGTGAGCTCCAATGCTCTTGAGCTTGCTGTCAACGTCGCGCCAGAGCGTGGAGAATGCGAAGCAGCTCTCCATCACCAGCTCCGAGGGCATGTCGAGGTTCAGGAACTCCAAGTTTCCACGTTTTGCGGTCCTCCATCACGCCTTCTCCAGTTTGGAGGAACGCCGTCTTCAGGTCCAATAGGGAAAGATGCCTCATCAACTGTGTTGAGACTGGAGCCACTGTGACCTTCAAGTCCGGACAATCCGAGCTTTGGCCTTGCGGGTGAGGGACTATAGACCGTGGTGTCCGGTTTTGCCAAACGGTCTGCTCAGGCTTGGCCGCGATCTTCTTCCGGCGCGGGCTTCCAAACTGAAACGCAACGTGCTCGAAGCACTCGGTCAGATTGCTGCGCCTCTTGCTGCTCCTCGCAGGTCAAGCAGCGTCGGACAGGTTGGGTCTTGAGGAAAGGCGAACGAGAATCACTTGGGGATAAACCTGCTGTTTTCACTTGGTAGGAATTCAGTTTGCCATAGCTGTGACGATAACTAATCGTCTTACTTGATCTTTGGCTCAAGGTTGAAAAGGGTGCTGAAGCCACTAAAACGTGGTTATCAGCCGTATTTGGTTCTTGTGTGTTTACTTTGTTTTGGTTTGTGGTCTCATCTGGCCATAGCTGCCTCGCTGCTGCTCCGTTGCAGCTCTACTGCGGCTTGCGCCGCAGACTGGTCTGGCCTGCGTTCTGGATAGAGCCTTGTATGCCTCGTGGAGAGCGTGGGGGTAAGAAGACTAGAAAGTCTGAGGCTTTAGCAAGGGAAACCCTCGAGGGTCGACACAATCCCAAGTCAGCCCCCACTGGGTCAGCGTCGCTGGCTCGAGTGGAAAAGGTTAGGGGGGAACTTGCAGCATCGAGTGCATCAAGGGCAGTTGTGGATACAGTTGATTTATCTTCTGTTGGAGACATCACCCAGTTCTTGGTAGCACCGGCGTTGTCTGAAAATCCACAGGCAGGTTCGAGTAGTGATTCTAAGAAGCAGGCTTCACCAGCAAAGCGGCAATTGGAGCTGCCAAGGGGTGAGAGATCCCCTAAGGCCAAGGCGGTTGCTGTGGAACCGGTAAGCCCTACTGTGTCTTTGGAACGGTAGAAGCTAAGGCTGCTCCTGTGGAACCAAAGGCTACCCCGGTTGTTGCAAAGGCTGTTTCTGCAGTGAGTCCCAAGGCTGTCATCCCCAAAGCTAGGCCACGTATCTCGGATCCGGTTGTGGGTTTGTCACCGGCTGCACACATTCCAGTGGAACGAACAGCGGCGCCAAGTGCCAACTGCTTCATTCGAATCAGTGTGGATTTACACGGGGTTCTGGATCTCAACACTGAAGTGGAGGGTCGTTTTGAACGTACTGCCCGGTCATCGTTGTGTAACTGGCTTCACAAAAGCCGCTACCACCAGGCAGGCATCTGTTCTTACATAGGCCGTGCCGGACCATCTTCTCAAGCTCGACGTCAATCGGCTGTGTCAGAGGTACATCGCTTTAACAGCGATTACCACACTCAGTTGCGATTGTTGATTGACTCGGACAAGGCTAAGCCACTTCTGAATCCAAGAACTGTCTCGATCCATATTGACGATCGGTTGGATCTCGCTTGGAAGATTTCGGAAAGGGGATTGGATACCATTCTTGTGAATCCATTTCTTTGCAGAAATCCCCCAAGGCATTTGCCCCCTGGTTGTGTGGTGGTGGAAGACCTCACGAAAGCCCTGGCAGAGGTGACACGTCGTGGACTGGTCCCTAAGGAATTTCCTGCTTGGCCAGGTATCTTCACGACTGATTAGGATCGCAGCTGGTCTACCCTTGCGCTTGCGCGGGAGCAGCTGACGGGGCCAAGCCAAAGCGGTTGTTTTCTTCTTGGAAACTTGGTCACAAGTAGGTTGTTGGGGAGTGCATGGCAGAAGAAACCAGTTCATCCAGTCTTCATTTGACTTCAACCAATTCATCCACCAGCCAGAATTTCGGAATACCTGCACAAGCAGCCGGCGCCGAGATAGAGGAATCTAGTGATTCGACACGAAGACCCAGAAATCGATCCATCACTCCGGTGAAGAGGCAATCCAGCTCACCTTATCCTCCTTCACATCGACCCCCAAGGGGAAGGATGTTGACGGACATGGAAAGGCCGACCGCTTCCCCGGATAGTTTGGAGAGAGGGTCAGCATCGTTGTTGCCCATGCCTAGAAACCCATTGGGAAACTCCACATCTCATGATCCAGTTTCTTTTGGTCCAGGGAACTATGCAGTTCAGATGAACCGCCAAGAGAATCATGATGAAGTGATGGTTGATACTAGGGAGGTATCATCTACTCAAGTTTATCAGGATCAGAGAACAGTGAACTTAGATCAAAGGTCCATTCATTTTCAGCAGCATGTGCATGGTCCAGACCCTAACATGATTGGTGACTTGGCGGCATCGGCAGCGACCTCCGGGTTGAGAGCCGAAGCAGCTTCAGTCGTGGCTGGGGTACAGGTCGAAGCAGCTCAGGCTGTTGCACAAGCAAGGGTTGACGCTGAATCAACTAGGGTGGAATACATGACCAGAGAGAATCAATGGGTTCGAGGACAGTTGCAAGCTTCGATTGCACAGAGTGAACACACAGAAAGAGCTAGAGAAACCCAAACACAAAACCTTTTATCCCTCAATGGAACGGAGATGCAAGGGATCATCCAACGACTTGATGGCCTCGAATTGCAGCTTACCAGAGTTGAATCCAAATTGGATACCCATCAAGAGTATATCCAGGATCTTTGGACGCAGCAAGCTCCTGCACCACAAGTGTTGCAAGAAGGAAGCACGACGCCAGTTGTCAGGTTGGATAATCAAGATCCCGCTACCAGAATGCCAATAGGTTTTCATATGCAGCCGGTTGGGGAAGAAGATGATGATCAAGAGAACCCCAATCTCTTCGGTGTTGGTTGTCCTGGTAGTGTTGGTGAACCAGATGATGTGGAACGAAGAGCGCTCAGGACCAAAGATCTCCATCACTTGAAGTTACCGACATTGCCGGATTCAGCGTCTCAATTTCGATCGTGGAAGAATGCTGTTCGAACCATGTTGCTGTCATATGATCATAGCCCAAAGGGGTTACTCAATGATTGGCTCAATCCAGCATTTCAAGCCCGGGGTCAACAAGCTGAATTGCTTAGAACCTCGTCAGGGGATTTTCCTCGATTGGATAGAGTCATCGCATCAGTGTTGTGTAAGCCCGAAGCATTGAAGACCTCATTT